CGTGTATATAGGGTCCTTTAGGGTGGACCAAAGTTTCAGAAAAATGTCTAGTTTTAATATTTATCACACTGTATCAAGCTGTTTTCAACATCAGGTTACATTTAAGAAAATAATTGGACCAAAATGTTTCAAATTGTTTATCAAGAAACCTTTAGTGACTTTTTATCCAATAAATGGTAATGGTTCAGAAAAGCATTAGAGTCACATGTAAAAAAAATAGTTTTTTAGATCTAACTAAACACTTTTCCTTTTTTGTTCTTGGTTAAAATTCAGATAAAACAAATCAAAGTCAAACCTGGGAAAAACTCAGAATTCTGAGAAGAAGTCAGTAATTCGATTAAAATGTGAAACCTGAGAATACATTTCGGAAAGTCAAAACGCTCAGAAAAATGTCAAAACTAAAGAAAAACAAGGAGAAAAAACTTCACAATTCTGATAACAATTAAAAACCTTGGATAACTTGGAATCCTGAGAAAAAAAGTTGAAATTCTGAGAAAAAAAATAGAAATTACAAAACTTGGAGAAAATGTCAGATATAGGTTAAAAAAAATCTAACCTGAAAGAAAATTTGTATTTCTAAGAAAAATATTAGAATTCTGAGAAATTGGATTTCTAAAAAAAATCAAACGTCAAACCTGAGGAAGTAAATCAAACCTTAGATAAAAAGCCTGAATTCAAATAAATAGTCAAACCTAAAAAGATTCTGAATAGAGCGGTGCAGGGATGACGTATTTACCCGGAAGTAGCTGCTGGTTCCCTCCACAAAAAGCAACGGGATTTCTCCAGAGGATTTTGTAAAATAGCTCAAATAAGAACTGTGGAAAACGAACCTGTTTGATAAATGCACGTTTTGTTCAGCCGGATAATCTCCACATGTCTACCTTACAGTACTTTTACAATGTTCTAATCAAGCAAAATGCTAACGTTAACGTTAAAGGAACTACAGCCGAGTACAGCAGCACGACTTCAACGTCACGCCAATTTAAGATCGATATTCAAGAATACAGATTCCACATTGTACAAGTTGAAGCGTTTGTTTGAACAGTCTGCAGGAGGCAGGTACTTGCTTCAAGCAGAACAGGGCAAACAAACTTAGAGGAGTGTTTACTTGTTTGGTGTAATGACGTAAAACGGCCTTGACAACTTCTGTAGTCCTATTCAGCCACATGTTAACAACCATCGTTTTTCAGACACGTAAACTCTTCAGAAATCACCAGTGGGGTCACTGCTGATGGATTTAATGTCGTAGAACAAAACGTGATCCGTGTCTTCAATGTGTTTCAACCACAGACCTTATTTCCAGCTATTTTCCTGAATCCTATCGACTCTGAGACGAGGGAACCGGTAGTGGTAAAATGCTAACTCACTTCCGGGTTTTAGGACTCGTCACTGCACCACTCTATTGGTACCAGTAAAATGGCGGTGTTACTTGCTGGAGTTGTAAAAAAGTAGTAGAAGTGGAAAAAGTAGTGCAGCATAGTAGGAATAAGGATTGTACAAAGACACTGTCTGTTCAACCATCTTCATTATCTGTCTCTCTCTCTTTTATGTTTGTTTTATGAACTTTCTGAACCCAACCTCCCCTTAATCTGGGGGATCAGAAACTCAATTTTCCGTGAAACCTATGGTTGAAACACACACACGCACGCACACGCGCGCGTACAGCGGATTGTATGGAGGAATAGAGCCATTGTGTGGAGCTGATAGTGACACCAATAGCAGCGATGGAGTGAGCCTTTCTTTCTCTGATTCATCTTCCTCTCAAGAAATCACACACACACACACACACACACACACACACACACACACACACACACACACACACACACACACACACACACACACACACACACACACACACTCTCACTCACCTGTACGCATACATGGATAAGTGGTTTAGCTTCATGGACCCTAAACAATTTCAAGCTTCCATCCTTTTACCTTACACACTCTTTGCTTCTTATTCTTTCCTTCTGTGTGTGTGTGTGTGTGTGTGTGTGCTTCAGATTGACAGGTGGATGATCTCAGTGAGTAGCGCACCCTGGGATCGACTGCATAATCAGGGA